CTCTGGGTAAAGGTAATAAGGTTAACAAGATTATCAGTCATGTTAAAGGTTCACTGAAGAGCTGTTACACATACAAGTAAGTCTACAAGGTAGTCAGAAATAAGTTACCAACTTTTCAAACGTGGTGACTGGGGCAGATGCACCTAGGGCTGGGTCGCCTTTAAGTCATCAGAGCTCTGACTGAGATTCAGTCCACCTCCTCCTTTGACCCTCCACGTTTGACTTCCCAGGTGAGGAGAGAATACCTGATGGCTGGCAGAGACAGGTGTCTGATAAACACAAGGAGCTGCTACCTTTATTTGCCTGGTTAATATCGGACTGGGTAAGAACCATGTGGAGAAACCACTCATTTGACATCTAGCCCCTTCATGTTCTCCCTCTCCTCTTTCCATGGATTCATTCTTCCCCAGGGTCAAACTCCAGCACTGAGTCTCAGTGTTCAAGTGATCTGAGAGGCTTCACTGCTGCTCTGAGAGATTTTGCGCCATCAACAAAACCCCAGGCTCTAATTGTCAAAATCTACTTCACATATATCCTGTTCTTAACAACCAAATGCCGAACTTCCAACAAAGCTGTTTTGTGTCACTTAAGTATCTGCTCTGTATATATCTGACATTCACTGTTGGTAACAAGGACAGCAAGACAATCTTATGTTGTATCCAAGGTCAGTAACAAAAATGATAGGTCAATTGCAAAGAATGTCGTATGTGCATGACTGCCTGCGTGTGTGTGCGTGTTCATAACCAGGAGTGAATAATTACTTTTATAATTTCTATATGTTGAAAAAATTCACTACTGCAGTTCTCTTATGAAGATCTCATTTCTGTAGAATAGCAGAATTCATTATAAAATATGAGTGGCATATTTCAAGTAAGAAACCTATAGGGCTGGTTTAACCCCTGGAGATCTAATTTTGCTTTTGGGTTCAGTCAAAGCTATTTACTGCTACTTCTCATTGTTTAGTTTTGCATTTTCTATTAAATGCTTTACATCGCAAAATAAATTCCTATATCAGCAACTGTTGCTATGAAAAAAAAAATTCTTTTGACTTAAAAAAGGAGGAACAGAAATTTGACTTTAGTAGGCAGCATAAATTATCCTCTGGTATATTTATCCAAAAGAGTTAAGACCAAAGAAAGAAACTGCTTGCTTATTAGAAATGCAAACATTACCTCAGTCTTACAAATGGCCCCCAACTCGCCCAGCCACTGCCTCTGCAGACCACCCACCAGCACTGGCCTTACGTCATATGACATTATGGAACAATAGGGAGCTCTGTGTCATACTTGAATATATTGTTTTGAAAGAATAAACTGTCATTAACTTGAATAAAAGCTTTCTGAAATCAAACCTGGGGGGTACAGCTTTTACTGTGTGGCCCTTTCACCACTTTGAGAAACAGCCTCATCCTGAAAGCAGCAGAGGGGGAGAGAAGAGATTAGAGTATAAAGGCAACAGTGATGCGGCCTCCTCACGGCAGCCCAGGAGACAGAAGGCAGGACTTCCAGTTACCAGGCAGAAACAAGGTCAGGGCAGAAGGCCATGCAAGGAATCCTGCACCTCAAAAAACCAATGGGTCACTCATCATCCCATTTCTGTTGGGAGTGACCAAAGATTCACTGACAAGGAAAGAAATGAGCCTTGCATCCAAGCTTGATAAGGTGGTAAATTCAGGATGGGACTAGCTGAAGGTGATAACAAACTGACAGTCAACTGGGCCTAGCATCCGGGAGATTCAGGTGGGAGGAACTGGGCCTAGCACCAGGGGGCACAGCGATGAGTCACCCTTTGGAATGTGAACCTAGAATCTAGATAAAAGACCCTTTCCCCCTTATTGGGTTGGCAGTAGCTGCGGACCCCACCCTGGGGCTCTGTCTCAGCTGCAGTCTGGGAGCAATAAACTCTGCTTGCTCAGTCTGTCTGCCTCCCGCCTTTCTTTCTTGCGGCCCGTCACAGAAGTTGGGACAAAACAATTTTCTATTACAGCCGAGCGATTTTTATAATGGGCTTTGCTGGAACTGGAAAGTGAGTCTCTCTATCTATGTACAGAACAGTCCAAATAACTCAACACTCTGGTGATGCCATCTTGAGTGGGCTATGACTGACAGCCACGTGACTATAGGCAATGCATTCAAACTGAGTCCCAGTGTTTTTATCAACAAAATGGAAGGAATAAGAGATACTGCGGGATCAGCTACTATTGTTATTTTATTAACTAATTATCTTGTTATACTTACTATTTCCGCCTGACTGTCCCCTAGGTCTACCTTCTCTGATCACTGTCCACCATGTTCTTTCCTCACATGTAAAAGAGCATCAACTTCATCCTTCACTGACTTGTTCCCTGCATCTGGCCACTGCCACATGTTGCCACTCTTTTCCTGCCACTCTCAGCGCTCGGTTTCTCCACCTTCCTAAGTCAACTCCCAAATTACCTCTTAAATGCAACCAGCCCCTCACCAGCTTTCCTCCCTCTCACACCTCTGCTCAATGTTCTCATCAATGGTCTTCTCGTCAACAGCCGAGGTTCAAAGAGGTGAGAAAAACAAAGCTGGGCAACACAGCCAGGTGATGGCTAAAAAGTTAAATGTGGCCAAGGCTAGTTAAAACCCAGGCAGCGGGCCTCCCTGGTGGCACAGCGGATTGAAGCGCGGACTACAAAACTAAGCTAAGCTGTGGCCACTTCAGGCCAGTTCAATCCCATCCTGGAGGTGACCCACATGGCGCGGCAGACCTCTCCTGTCTTGCCGCTGCTCCCCTCAGCAGTGTACTTTGCTGATCTGCCTGTTCTGCTCCCACTCTGAGGAAAAAAAAAAAAAACTCAAGCAGCAAAGCAACCAAGTCCAGCTGCAGCGCCTGGAGGCCCCATATTCATGACTCAGAAAGATGATTTTTCAATCAGAGGCTCACTCCCTTTCACACCAAGCTTTCTCACAGAGGTGTCTTTCCCCTACTATCAATTTATTATCATTAAATATTAACGGTTCCAAATGCCTAAGAAAAGAAACACTTATCCTGGAAAGTGGTTAGATCTGTGTCAAAGTTCTGTGTGTGGTGGGAAAGAGGATCTTTTTGATGGTTTTGTTTTTAGTAATTCCTTAGACCAGACAAAAGTTGGTCACATAGGCTTTACACCAGACCAAAGGAAGGACATAATTAACAGGAAGTAGGGACCCAAAACTTGCAACTGTGAGTAGCACTAACGTGACTCCAACTCCAGATGGAGCACAAAATGCAAGTGTCGGCCTCTGAAATTCTCAAGATGAAGGCTATGTCTTAATCTGATTGTGCAAGGGTATGTGAAGATGGACATTCCCTTAATGTTGGCTTCTGTGAAAAAAATCACAGTATTTCTCAAAATAATGAAAGCTAAGAAAAAGATGGTAACAGGATATAATGTGGTGTTTTTTGTTTTTGTTTTTTTTTCCTATGGAAGCATTAGAAGCGTTGACCAAAGTCAAACAATGACGCCTGCGGGAAAAGATGGAAAGTTTCTATTTCCTCATCTGGATAGCAGGTAATCATTGGGAAGAATGAAATGCTACAGAGATCATCTATACATCACCATTTGTTCTTGTCTTTTAAGTACCTGTGGGAGAGTGTAGGCAGTATAGGATTTGATACCAGTGATGAAGCCTCTTATCTGCCAGCTCTCTGATCTTGAACAAACCATTCAAGCATGTTTAATGATGTAAGAATTAGATGACTGTGTGTATGTGTGTATATGTTTAGCTATGTAGATGTAAGATGGTTAGATCAAATTGTATCAGGTTAAGTAAACCTGGGCCTATGTTCATTTTTTAAAAAGATTTATTTATTTACATATAAAAGTCCTGGGGTACAGGCCAGAAGTGTGGAGGGGTGAGAGGATTCACCAGAGACAGAGTGGGAAACAGAACAGGCAGCCTGACAGAAATACACTGCTGAGGGGAGCAGTCGGGAGACAGGAGAGGTCTGCTCTGCCATGCGGGTCACCTCCCTGGCCAGGGATCGAACTTGTGCTGCAGTGGCTGAAGACAGCTTCATAATGCCGCACTTTAACCCCTTGCACCACCAGGGAGGCCCTGCCTATGTTCATTTTATTTCCTAATCTTTAGGAGAGGAAGAAGAAACATTTTTACAGCAGAAAAAATTCCACTGAATTAATAGAAAGTCACCTGCACTACTTAACAGAAATATGAAAATGATAAAATAGTAATATAAAATTAGTAAAATCAGGAGATTTTTTAAATATTAAGGAATATACTTCATGGGGCCTCCATGGTGGTACAGGGGTTAAAGTCTCAGCACTCTCAAGCTACCTGGCTAGAGAGCTAACCCACATAGTACAGCTGCTCCCTCCAGCAGTGTATTTCAGTCAATCTGCCTTTTCTGTTCCCCACTCTGTCTCTGGTGAATTCTCTCACCTGCCTCCACCCCAGCACCACTAGCCTACACCCCAATTTTTGTGTGCATACACACAAATTGTGTGCATATACACACACACACACACGCTTTATGCTAAAAGGTACTTACCTCAACATGCACTAACCAGGAGGGCTGGCAGCTTTATATACACTCTTCCCCCATACACACACACTTCTCATACAAAACATTTGCCAGGATTAATTAATTAATTACAGGTCTAACAGCCGTCACAGGGATTTTCTCTACAGATCTGAACCCGTAGCCCAAACCAAAGATTGCAAGTCATATATCAAGGAAAAACACCCGGTAAAGGCCAGCTCCAACAACAGTCACCCACTCAGTCCCTACTTCATACCTTGCTGTATTCCAAGGCTGAGGACTCAGCAGCGCACAAAAAGCAGAAAGTTCTGCCACGGTTAAGAAACACAGGCAGCCAACAACCTAAACCATAGGTCAATGTTCATTAAGTGCTACAGAGAAAGTCAGAAAAAAAGGGGCAGTCAAAGAAGGCTAAATAGGGCAGTCAAAGAAGGCTTCACCGAGAAGAGGCCAGTGAAGCGCAGACCTAAAGCAGGTAGAGATCAAGCCCTTACCTTTCAAAAGTGGCTGGAAGGTTGGAATCTCTTGTAACTTGATGACATCAGGATCGTTGCTGACATTTCGGGAAGCCTGAGAGCCCTGAGCTACAACCACAATATCATCCATCTTGGCTCTGTGCTTAGCTGGAGACGGGGTCACTGAAAATGAAGTGACACAGCTCAGTTGTGTGTTAACCACATCTGCCTCATCAGGGCTATCTTCAGTGTCGTCACTAAGAATACTTCTACACACAAAAATGCTAATTGTAGTTATCCTGCAGTGGGGTGATGAATTATAGATCACCTCTATTTTCTATAATATTAAAAAAATACTTCACACATTACAGGAACTTGTAACATTTGACTATTCAGCACCTGAGGTATAGACAGATTGTCTTTGGCTTTACTTCTTTGATCCTTTTGATATTTATCGCTATTTTACTGAGAAGGGAATGAAGGTACAAAATTTGGCTATGACTCACCCAAGGTCACCAGAGCTAGAAACAGAGACAGGAAAGGAATTGTAGGTCTATGGGTAGTCGGTATGCATGGCCATGGACTTCAGAGCAGTCTAGGCAGCTGATCTCAGCATGCCATGAAGTTGAGTCATGAGTGGGGAACCTGGGTCTTAATTAACCCTAGATGATGGCTGCCAGCCACTTCACCCTTAAAGTTGCAGGCATCCGTCCAAGAAGGGCAAAAACAACCAGAAAGTCCCTTGTAGGTCCAGGCAAAATGCTGAAATTTGGAGGACTGCTAGGAAGGCAGGTCAATTTCAGGTTCCTTGGAAGACTGCAATCCATTTGGAAAAAAGTGATGCAAACCATTAAGGACTCCCTACTTGGAGAGGTGCTCTTCTCCCTAGAGATACTCCTGATTAGAAGAATGACTCTTTAAAGCTTTTGACTCTCTAGAAGATCACATTTGCAGGTTCATCCTAGTCATGCCTCAAAGGCTGATCCAAGGATGCCATAGAACCCGGCCTCCTGGAGCTCAAGTCTCCTGTGGCTTGGATCACACTCAGAATCTGCCACATCTGGGGGCCCTCCCTAGTGGTCTAAGGCAGCACTGAGAAGCAGCAGCTGCTTCAGCTCAGGTTCCCTCAATCCCCAACACCCCACCTCCCCCACGCGGGAACTGACCCACATAGGCCTCTCCTGTCTCCCCGCTGCTCCCCTCAACAATGTACTTCATCAGTCTGCCTGTTCTGCTCCCCACTCTGTCTCAGGTGAGTCCTCTCATCGCTCCTACACCTCTGGTCTGTACCCGTTCTGTATGTATAAGTAAATAAATCTTTAAAAAAAAAAAAAGAATCTGCTACAGTTTTGCTCTTCATGAAATGTCTCTGCACCTACTTTGGTAATTTACCTGATCTTTTACAAACTCCAGGCCAGAATCCTGGCCTGCTACAAATTGCCTCCTCGTTTTCTAGACCTCAGAGAAAAACAGACTTCATACTAGGTTCTGGCTACCTCCGCCAACTTGTCTATGAAATGGGGCTGCAGTGAGAACTAAATGTAAATGCATCCCCCTGGGCACACTGGAATAGTCAAATCCCAATACATGCAATTGGATACACTTCCTACTTGCTGCACTGAGTACCCCATGCAGTGGGTTACTAGGTGAGCCAGCATATTAAGAGGATACCACATTTCCCTCCCCAAAATATGCCACAGAGGGAAGAAAGTGTTAACAATTATTACTTTATTTGTTTTAAACACATCCTGAGCGTTCCAAAGAGAGAAGAATCTAGCAAAGTAAGCAGATGCTGCTCACCATTAAAACCTCGCCCCCAGAATGCAGGTTTCAACTTGAATTTAAGACACTCTCTAGAATGGAATACCCCTAGATTTAAAAGCTTCTATCCCGCAGCATTACAGTCCCAACCAGCAACACAGAAGTTCTCCAACCACGGCTCTTTCACAGTTCCTGATTTAACCAACGTGGGTTAGCAACCTCAGAGTTTGTCCAAAGTACTAGGGTTGGGGGGTAGCACAAAAAAGTGCAAATAATTCTCCATGATGCTGTTTCATTTATTAAACGCTTGCTATATTCTGGGCAAAATAATCCTCGCCATTCCAACTGCAAGTGCAGAGAGAAATCGTTAACATATGCCCGCTGAGAATAGACTAAAATACCAGAACTGCATTCCTGGACACTTTCTGAGGGTAAAGTGCAGTTTCTGAAGATGCTTGCACCTTCAAAAAGACTGCTCACTTGTCACACATCTTTTAAGAAGGTAAGACACGTTTTTAAGAAGGAACCTATTAAAGAGGTGCTACCTACGATCCAGCCACAGTGTGCCAAATCTCACTGTGCCTGTTATGAGCACTGAGGCCAAAATTTGATCAGGTCGTTCTTTCTTTCTTTCTTTCTTTTTTAAAGTAGGCTGCAGCTGGGATCAATAGCTATTTTGAAAATAATGGGCTTGTGCGCCCAAGCTGGCTTAGTTTGCAGTCACCATCGCTGACTTCCATTACGGAAATCATGATGACAGATGGCAAGGGGGGTTTTGATGAGGTTTTTTGTTTGTTTGTTTTTTAAGAAAAGAGCACGGTGAGGGCTTGGGCGTTCCGGACCGCCGGTCCCAGACCCAGCCCGCTCCTCAAGCAGACAGGCCGGCTGGAGGAAGGTGGAGGTTAGAACACCGACCTGAGGAGTTCAGATCGTTGGGTCGGCTCTCCGCCTCCGAGCTCTGCTCACTACCCATGGTGCCGGCAGCGATGGCAGCGGAGGAACGGCGGGAAGGGCGGTCACCGCTCAGGCGGCGGGCGACAGGGCCGGGACCAGGGATCGGGAAGGGGGCGCCCCGCTACAAAAAGCAGGGTGCGGTTGCGAAGCCGAAGCGTGGGGGTGGCGCGCCAGCCCACAGGGGAAGGCGGCAGGGGTTGGGGTGGCCCTATTTGGGAAACACGCGCGCAAAGGGGCGCAGGCCCGGATGCACGCTACCCGGGCGCTTTTCTTGCAGGAACCCCAAGAGAGGAGGCGGGGAGCGCCGGGTTTCAGTCGCGCCGGCGACCAGCGGGCGGCGCCGCTTGCACTCACTTGCTCATGCGCCGCAAGCTCGCTCCTTCCGGGACGTGGATGTGCGTCGCCGGCGGAGTGTGGCCGTCAGTTCCGGGTTACGAGCCCTGTT